TCTGAATATAAAACTAAATTCCATTTTCTCTGTGGATAGTTCTTTTTTCTTTTTCCTTTAAGTTAGCCCTGAGTCCAGATTTCTCTCCATATCACACTTACAGATCACCTGCGCCGTTATCCTTCAGCAGAAGCCACGGGGGAGCTATAAGCCAAGCACATCCTGTCAAGCATCTCGGAACGGAGCATCTCTAACACAGCATGCATCCCCTTCCTTGCATCCCACCAAGACTCACACGCAGAAAATTCTATTTCCGTATTTTGCTTTGTATGCATTTCCTAGCGGACATGGTTCTCCCTGTAGAAAGCCAGAACTCGGAGGGAACTTAACAGCAATTTGTTCCACCTCTTCTACTTTCAAGATGAGTAAATTAGGGTTAGGCAACCAGCCCAAGAACTCACACCCATATCACACGAGTTAGAAGTGCAGCCAGGAACCTCTAGGCTCCCAGATGGAGCTTCTGCTAAAGTAGCTGACTATCTTTACATGGATCAATCACGCTGAAAAGGTTTCCTCCCAGGAGCTCAGCTTTTGAATGGACACATTATGGATATGCAAAGTACCACACACTTCTACATTCTCATTAATAACAATCTTCACAACTGCCCAGGCATACCTGGAGGTTTTTGCCTATATGAAATTACCTAGCAACAGTAAATGGTGAAGGACTGGTTAAATAAGCAAAGGTTAAAGGCCAGCCAGCTGTCTGCTAGGATGGTGCTGCTTCCCCAGGAGGCTTTAAGAAATGTTTGCTGACCCGGAATCTAGACAATTGCCACAAAGACTAAGAAAGTTCTATTTCAGGCCTGAGCATATTACAAATGGTTGAAGGATATCCTGGAGCCTCAGGTAGAAGTCCCCTGGAATCATCTCCCATTGAGATGCATCCTAAGGAACCGAGGGGAAATATTTGTTGTTTTGCAAAGCTGCCTCATTCCCCTTGACAGAGACTGGACCAGAGGCTAACCAAACTTGGAGAACAAAGTTTTACATCTTCAAGGTAGCTACCGCCCTCTAGTGTTTTAGGAATAGGGCAAAGAACGTTCCTGATAGACTAAATCCAACCTCAAAAGGTTTTCAGTTAATGATACGCCTCTGCAGCCTTAGCAGGTCCTTGGAAAATACTACTAGAACAGGACGCTATGCTCAGGTTGACCAGTTGTCACTCCCAAGGTTTGTTTTCAGCCACTTCAGGTGAACCTGGTACTTTCTGTACTTGCTAAAATAGTGAAATGCTTCCACATAAGTTTGCAAAAACGCCACCACCCTAAGAGCCCTGAGGACCTCCACTACCACCCCAGAACCAGGATCCTCGCCTGGACACCCACAGAGCTCTCCACCATCCAAAACCTAAAGCTTTAATGCTTGGTGAAGCGGGGATTTCTCCAATAGCCCTGATCCAGAGCTATGAATGCAGCATTAGGCCAGTATGTGAATCAATCCACTGATCAAATATTTTGAATGTGACCCCAAATAGCTCCTCACCACTCAGCTATCGTGTTCATTCATCAGCTCATTCATCATTTCCCAACACCTACCACGTCCCAGATACCATGTTAATCATGATGCACAGGCTAGAAGGAGGGTTTGTTTATACCACGGTCCTGTGGGATCCTAAACTTGAGATGGCATCTAATTTGATTAGTATTGTCCTAGTGGCCTGGAAACATCTGCAGCCAATGACTAATCCAGGCTTCTTAGGAAGGGATCCAGTGTGATGATTACCCTGCACTATATGCCAGGTATGTGGGGCCAAATCTTGACTCTACCTATGAATGGCTCTTTGGCCTTTGGTGAGTTATTTTACCTTTCTACATTTCAGGTTCCCCATCTCTAAAGGAAGGAAAGCAATTCTCAAATCATGAGGTTATCGTGAGGATTAAAGGAGATAGCCTTTATAACAGCCCTTGTCATACAGTAAGTTTTCATTAAGTGTTTACTAGTATTTGGGTCACAAAGTATTAAAGGTTAAAAGGTATTCACCAGGTCACATGTTTCTCCTACTTTAATAAAGTAAAGAAATGAGGGTTAGGCAACCAGCCCAAGAACTCACACCCTATCACACTTAGGTCAGCAAAGCAATTCCACTTTCCCAGGACAGTCAGGTGCACAAACACTTCAAGGGAGACGGAAATTAGTGTGTGGAAAATAGGAAGAGTAAACAAAAGTGGCTTTGGTCTCTTCACACTCACAGCGTAGGTTTAATCATTCGGTGACGCAGTCACTGTAATGTAACGTAAATAGCATTATTTACCCACATAGCCAAACAGCTCTAGATGAGCATATGGTAAAAGTTTATCCAGCCACTTGTTAAGTCACTGTAAACCAGGAAATGGGTCCCTTTGCCCACCACTGCAGATTTCCTTCTCATGGTTTGTAGCCTGTGCCTCTGTGTCCTCCTCGTGGCCATGGGACTGAGGACTGGTCAGTATGACACAGGACTGTGAAACAACTGACTTCTGGTCAGCTCTCCCGGCAGGTGATGTACAGAGAGATGGCAGACTTCCCAAGAAACATCTCCTTCTTCCACTGGCTGTGTGTCTGGACATTCCATTAACAACGATAGTATTACAAATGCCTTCTATGCCCACGAAATACTCTCTCCAAACCTTAGAGCACTTCACAGGGCCACGATGGGCACCTGGCAAGACTGTCTTTATTTACTTTGTTCCCAGACACCATCGTTCTAGGAGCAAATGGCTTTTGTGGGCATTATCACCAACCCCCCGTGTCTGAAAAGCTAGAAGTGTCCCGTCCAGTCAAAAGGCTGAGATGGTCACGTTTATAGAAGTAGCTGAAACCATGGGTCAGACATTCAGGGAGGACCATGAATAGTCACACCTACATCTGGAAACTTCTGATCGCTCTTCAAAACTGGCCCATCTCTAGGTTCCCCTCCTGCCACAGAGAACAGAACCTCGTAAGCCCCCAGCATTGCTCCTTGGAGCCTGAGGCTTAGTTTGGACTTTCTGAATTTAGCCTACTACTTTGAAATAGAAAAGAAAAAAAGATCCATAAGCATAAATCAGTAGGGAAAGATGGACAAGCAAACTTGAGAAATGTTCTTCCTAATACCTCAACCTGCTCAATTTACTTAACCCATCATATCAAGAACAGAGAATAACAAGAAACAGAGACAATCTCTCTGCCTGTTTGGGTTGAGGACCTCCAGGAGTCAGGTGGGCCCAAAAGCTGGGATGAAATTGCATGCAGAAAACTAACCTTAAGTACTTCTCTATTCCTGAAACCAGAAATTCATGGATCAGCTATTTTCAATGTTTGACCTTTTGAAATGTAGCAGAATGGTGTGTTTAACTACTCAATAAATATTTCACACTTTAAAATGTTTAATTATCTTTTAGATTTTTGTCACTTGTGTGAAAATAAGCCCAAATCAAAACTGACCAATCCATAGCATGTACAGTAAGCAATAAAATTATTTTCACACTTATATGATTTGAGGCCTTTTTTGGTACACAACAATAGCTCCATCTTTCTTCCCTAAAATGTAATTTTCAAAAGTTGAGCTTTCAAAATCATCAATTAAACTGACTAGCTACACACTGTCTATACAGGACTACATATAAAATACCTTTTTCCCCCTTTTCATGTTACAGCCTGAGTTCTAACACATATCTCAGTGACGTACTACCTAGATTCTGATTGCAAAGCTTCAGTTTACAGCTTGATATTTCCACTGTAAAATATGTATATTGTAGGTCTTGAAAATTATCCTTATTAAAAGCACTGATACAAATACTGGCAAATCAGCTATCAGGAATCCCTTCCAAACATTTTGTTAAAGCTGTGTTTTCTTGACTCATCCAAACCAACTCCAAATTGGAAAGAAGTGGTATTGTAAAACATACTTCAAAGAAGCTTAGTGGTACCCTATTCAAATATTTTTAAGGTGGATAGAATTGGCTGTGTCATTCCTTGAGAGAAACACTTTAATAAATAAGACTCACTCATGATTTGTTCACCGATTGCTGCTTACCACTTGTTTTCCTAAGCATTTTTTAAGCATTCCTTTGCGAGATAGTCCAAAGTCTAATTTTCCTGGAAAGCTACTTTCACAGGCCTTTTTTTTCACAGCCTATTGAAATCACAAACGCTGACATAGAAAAATCTGAATTACTGAGATTCTCTATTGTATGTAAGAAGTGGAGGACAGGAGAGTTGGTATTGAGAGGCTTTCTCAGCAGCACCCACTGATGAAGCAGGTCTCCCTAGCTGGAATTATCAGACGTGGTGGCCACATCAGCTTGGTTAGAGGACATCTCCTGGAAAACCTTTGCTTTCTAAAGGAATACATCTTGATGGGCTCTGAAATTTAAAATATTTTAAGCCAGCCATACTAAAGGTGAATGAAGAGCTAAGTGTGTGATATTTTCAGCCAGCAGGACCGAAGGTGAATGAAGAGCTAAGTGTGTGCGGTGAGAAGACAAGGATTCCTCACTCCCCAGTTCATGGCTTGAACCTTCCAGACGGTGTACCATGGTCTTGCTAAGCAGATCCCCTGTGCTCATTCTCATTCTGTAATTAAAAACGACTATAACTTTTATTTCTCCACTTAACCTTTGTGGATAGCTCTAATCTCTGCTTAATTTCATCATTAATCTTTTTTGGAAACTTCATTGCGGTCAGAAAAAACGTGCATATAAGTTTTCCCACCATGCCTCTGCAAATTAAATACAATGTGCTGTATACTTGCCTCATGCAAAGGCTAGGTGTGATTTGCTTCCAAACTATTCTTAGGGCTGTGCCTAAACAGAATGCAGCCATCTATAAAAGCACAAAGCTTTGGGCAGGGGAAGAACCCTAAGAGGCAGCAACCCAGTAGAGCATAGGACAAATGGTAGTTGTTCTGCAAAAACGTGCTGAATGAGGTCTAAGTTGAGGAATTTATCCCGCTCTGTCTTTCTCTTACCTAAAGGAGAAATCTGTTCACCATTTCCAAGCCAAGTCCAAGTTTTCAAGTTGACTGTCAGCAAGTCAGGTTTACACATAGTTACGTCTTTATTACCCTCTGTGCATTCCCAGGTACGAAAAAGCTTTTAAGATCAGAGAGTATCACTATAAGGCCTAATGGATTACAATGTACCACAACTGTATTTGTGTCTGTAAAAATGATTAGCACATGGAAATGGGTAAAACAGAGCTCATCAACTCCCAGGTGAAAGGGCATGCACCCTCTGCTAAGTGTAAGAGGTTATCAGAGGCCCACCAGCAGCCATGGGTTCACAAGGACAGGGCCTGAGAGAAACCAAGCAGTGAAGGGAATATTTTCATGCACAGTCATTAGTTAGTGATGCACTGACATGGCTTGACTGCCTCTGAACTTTAGGAAAATGATGATCATTTTTCACTGGCTGCTTGCTTTTCTGCTAGCTTTTCTTTTCTGTGAGTTTCTGGTTGGGCTGGATTTAAAGAGCTTCCCCAACAAATCAGATTGGTAGGCTGTCAGTACCACTCCAAATATGGCCCAAGGACAGACACCAGCCACATCACCTGGGAGCTGTGTAAAAATAAAAATTGTCAGACTCCCACCCCAGATACAGGTGGGGCCCCCCAGTGTGACCTCTCCAGGTGATCCCGATACACACTGAAGTTTAAGAAGCATGATCCACCGATCCTTCCCCCCTTTCTCCCTTAGAACCAAGATCCTCAATCCGGAAGAGGGTGGCAATATTGTCAGGTAAATGCCACATTTCTCAGCCGCCCCCAAAACAAGTGTAGGTCAATGATACACATGTGCAAGCAACTGGAAGGGACGTCCAGGAGACCAGTTAGTTTCAAGGGAGGCTGGCTCAGCTGAGATGTTCAGTCCCTTTGCTTTCTGCCGGAATTGTGGATGCGAGGACTGGTGCTCCAACAGCCATCTCAGTCCAAGAGGCAGCCTCCATGATAGAAACTGTACACTAAAAGTTAAGGAGTTTAAAGGCAGGAGTCTGTTCCCAAAAATCAGATCAAAAACATCCATATTAGCCATGGCTTTCTTTCCTTCAGATTTTTTATATGAGAGAGAAATAAACTTTGAACTTAACATACATGTATTCTAAACCTGCTTGTTTGGGTTTTCAGTTATATTCCATCCATCCTAATCCTAACTAAATCCCAAAATATTATGTCAGTGTGCATTCAGAAGCTCCCTAGAAAAATAAAGGGTGAAAGGATAACACCTTTCCCAGGGCTCCTGGGAGCTTTGCCCACTAAACCAATGCCTGCCCGCTCCCATCCCTTTTTCCACATAGAACTTTCTGGCACGTGGATTTAAGTAGGAACTGATTAAGCTCTGTAGAAAATGAACAAGTATGTCTTCCCTTACCTGGTTTATAAATATAAGAAATTGGCATGTTCCTTGAGGAAGAGAGGAACCAGAGAGGGCAACCACATTCAGATACCCACAGCTGACTGACAAACAAATAAGAATATCCTCTTATAATCAAAAGGTTTGACTAATTATGAGATCACTGCACTTCACTGTTATTGCCAACTGAACATCCATCTTGCCCACTTGCTGTAAGTAAGAGGGGGCAGCAGGTAGGAACTGTGGTTCTTTCACCACTAGATCCCCAGAGCCAAGCTCAGAGACTGGCACATAGTAGGAGCTAGGTAAGGATTTGTTGAATGAATGAATGATTAAATGGATGAGTATATTCTAAACTTTTCGTATGTATACTGATCCTTCCAACTTACTCTGGGTAAAACACTCAAATGCGTTTCCAATGAATGGCTCAGGGAATGTCAGTCGCATTGTCCCATCCCCCAGAGACTAGATGGGACTCCCTGCAGTTGGGTGTCAGTGAAGGAGAGACTGGTCCAGAAACACAAGACAGAGTGTCACTGTAGGCCTTGTAACCCACTCCTAGCTCCATGTCACCTTGGTTGCTTCATTTAACCTCTCAACGTCCCTACATGCAAAAAAGAAAGTTGAAGAAGGGATTCACAATATTCCCCCACAATCCAATCTGTTTACGAATCCAGAAGAGCCCTTCATGTCTAGAAATAATCTCTAGCCTCAAGTCTTGAAAGTTTGCTTACAATTATTTTTATTATGATTTTAATGAACTAATACAAGGTACCAGAGAATCCTGGGAATAGGGTTATTTATTATATGGCCTCGGGCTCATGTGCTATAAATGTCACAAAGAGGCACAGCCCTTTCACTAATTATTCCAGTAAAACAGGAGATCAAATATCAGCGCAAGAGATGACACAATACAGCTGAGACTATTAAAAGGAAGTACCCAAACTGGGTATCATAAAATACATCATGAACTGTGAACAGATTTGCTCAATGAACAGGAGCCTCATCTTTTAATCTCCACGGATGCCATCAAGGAGTTTCTCAAGGTAGAACGTGAAATGAAAAAGAAGTGTCTGGCCAGGAATGGACATTATCCCCCAATGACCTGTCACAGAGACTATTTTTAAAGTAGCATTTATCTCAGCAGAAGTGACAGCATTTAAGAAGTGGCCAGGTACCAGTGCCAGACAATCCCTTCAAGGAGAAAGGCTGCAAAGAATGGCTGCACGCTTTACAAAGGCCCAAGTGATGGATGAAATGGGAATTGCCCTTGGCCAGTTAGACTGCTGGTTTAAGCAGCTAGAAAGATAATGCAGAAGTTAGAGCTTGAAAATCAGGTGGAGTTCACCCCAAAATTATTGCAGCCACCTCAACACTCAAAAACTAATCAGGTCTTAGATTTATAAGATCCATCTTAACTAGAAATGTAGACTCTAACTGCCTTGTAAATTTCTGATGTAGTAGCTGCTCACTGAATTGTAGTATCCCGGTGAAGAATAATGTCATAAGGGATGTGGTAATCCCAGGTTTACACGATTCTCTTATATGAACCTAGCCACTCTATTTCATGTCATAAGAATATGGAAAGTATATTACAGCTATATTACATTGGGCTTCTCATTACTGACATAGAGCTTATGTTAGGTAACTCTTACAGAAGACTGAGAGAAACAATAATACACAATGGTATATTTATATATTTTGGGGAAATAGAGTGTCAACTCAGAGCTGATCTGTCTTCCTTCCCTGTGCAGAAAAAAAAGAGTGACTAAAGATGTAGGGGACAAAAGAAGGAAAATAAACATTTTAACCATTAAAACTGATTTCAAATCCAGGGTAGAAAAGTGTCATAAAATTTACTCTTACCTGCTGTCTACCTGTTACTTCAGAGAATACCAGAAAGATTTTCTGAAGCTGTCACAGGGCCTAAGCATGTCTCCAAAACAGAAAACACTCAACACAGTCACCACTGTTCTGTTTAAATTTGTGGAGATCTCTGGTAGGAAAGTGGGACACTTCACAGCATTGAGAGCTCTGCGAATCACCTCAAACCAGCAGTTCTTGCCAACCGGTGTTCACCTGGCCTCAGCCAGTCACCTCCAGGGCAGGAGCCCCTAGCTCACTGCCACTCCCATGCTAAGTTCCAGTGGATGAAAAATTGTTCCTTTTCTAAGTGGTCAAGACTTCCGTCTACTGCTGACCCCATCAGAGCCGTCTGTCTAGGTTCCACACCCCACTCCACGCCCGTTCCTCTTCCAAACAGCATCTCAGGAAAGAGTTCTCTTGGAAGGAAACACATTTGACATCCACTACACCCCTTAACTTCCAAGCCATGTGCTTCCAAAGCTCATCACCGAGACACAGAGCATAGACTTCTCATGGAACCTGACCATTAGCACAAATATGGGACATATTTTACTGCTAAAAGAAACAAAAAATTTACACTTCGAAGAACTATGGCTGCCCTTCTCCTTGTCTCCCTCGATCGCCCCTGTTGTCCACCGTGTTTTGTTCTTGCTGCAAACCAAGTGCCAGAACCTCATAGTGTGTCTGGGTGTGCGGCAAAGTCAAACGCCAATATTGAGGACAGTGCTCATGAGTTTCAAGTGATCTGTGTAAGGGAGAGAAATAACTGCTCCACCTACACGAAGAACAGGGCCTGGATTAAATGAACTGTACAACGTGAGTTTGCTAAGTGCACCCTCCCGACAGCAAGTTAAATGGCTATAAGAAATTGTGCTTGCATTTCATGCCATCAGACCCAATTTCCCAGAACCTGAAACACCAAGTCCTCCCAAAATATGGCTTCAATGCTGGCAAATATTTGCAGATACTATCTCTGCAAATTAAGTATAAATACAGTTCTGTACAAAGTAATTTACAGAATACCAAAACCATTCTGTTTCTCTGAATAGATCAAAACAGAAGTAAACATCATTCTTGAATTTACCACCTAATCATCATGGAAAATTCAACAGACACTTGAGCGGGAAAGTAGATTTCTATAGATATTGCTAAAATATTTGGTTTTTCTATATCAGAGTATCTTCAATGCTATTGTGCCAATTTTCAAATGGAAACTAGGATGGGTAATATTCAATGTAAAAATATATGTATACTGTATTTCAATATTCATAGCCTGATACTCATACGATGACTCTAATTTCCTCCCAAATCAATTTGCTAGGTCACTGGGGGCTCTGAGGAAACTTATGGAGGAGCTTGAGTGTTTCTCACTCTCAAATTCATTTTGAAATGCAAATAAGTCCTTGCACCTCACTTGGGGAAATACACACTCCTTGCTTATTGTGTGCACTCATAGAGGGTGCTATCCTCCTCCTGCCTTGGGCTGGGGAGACTTGAAGCCAACCACTGAGCTCTGTGATTCTAAGGGTGGCTCAGGACACCTCCAATCAGTCACCTGAGTTACAGACATACTGACAACTGAAATGCGTCCTAAACTAACAGCCACAAAATCAGCGTCTCCTCCTGTGCTATCCAGGTGTCCTCAGGACAGTGACAGACAGGAAGTAGGGGTGTATTTAAGGTTCCTGGACAAGGTTCTTCCAACACTTCCTTTCCCCATAGGCTGTTCACATCAGGACCTGTTCCCGAGTCTCTGGCAGCCGAAGAGCAATCAGGCCACCACCAACGAGAGAGGTGGCAGCCAGAAGGATGGGTACCACTTTGGTAATCCCAACAAAAGAAGCGAAGATGGTGTTTCCCAGGATAGCGCCAAATTTGCATAATCCATTGAGGATGCCAAAGGCTGTTGCCCTGTGAAAGAAGAAGAAAATAAATCATTCTGAAAGCCCAAACTAGACCTCCTTAAATGAGTGGGATGGGATTATTTCTTCACCTTGTTGTGAGGAAGGGATAGTGAATGTGTGGGAGGGAATTTTTTCCCCTAAATGGACAAGTAACATTTGGAAATACAGAATAACCAAAGGTGAAAGAATATGTAACCTCACCATTGAACAGCAATCACTACTTGTTAACATTTTGGAGTATTTCCTTCAAACTCGTTTCTTTTTCTTTTCAAATATCTCTTTTTGAAATTTGCAGAGGTAATAATGAGTATTGTGAAATACTGACAGAATGAAGAAGGAAGCAGCAGAAAGGTAAGTTTCTCCCTTAATAAACACCTCACACCCTCTTGCAGCAGAGACAGCTAGGTGTTCCTAAACACCTAAAATGTAAGACTACATTTCCCAGACTCCCTTGTTTCTGAGTCTGGCCATGTAACTAAGTTTTGGCCAATGGAATGTAAGTGCAAGTTGGCAGCTCCCAAGAAACTTCCTTAGAGAGATGTCATGAGTGGTCCTTTTCTTCCTTCCCTTTCATCCTTTCTCCTTCCATCCTGCTTCCTGCAAAGTATAGGTAGTCTCATCTGGACCCTGGCTGAGGTCATGAGAGGGAGGACAACAAAGAAAGCCTACGGCGCCTGGTCTGGACTTCTGCAGGGCATTACGATAAAATGCCTACCTTCCTAAGGCCGCACTTATCTGGGGTTTCTGTCATCCCCGGGGGGACCCTAATCCTAAACCCTCAACACACTTCCCAGTGACAACTATGACTAACCATCTCTCCTTTCTGGACACCGTCTGTACACAGAGTCAGTATTCCCAGCATTATCTTTGCCCCACTGAAGTAAAATGTTTCTTTTTCACACCACATTATTAAGAATATGACTGTATTTTGTATCTTAAATTCTTTTCAGATTTTTTTCTATAACTGTACCACACTATACCTTTATAATCACTGGTCCCCAATCCCAATCTTTTCATTTTCAGAATTTTCTTGGATATCGGCACACGTGTATTTTTCCAGATAAACTTTAGAATAAATTTTTCAAGTTCCCAGAGGGGGTAAATTTTTTCATTGAATTTTGAATGGACTCTTTTAAGTTAGAGGAAAACTAAAGAATATTTGACTTTCATGTAAAATTAAATCTTAGAATTCAGGAAAGTATATTTTGACATATATTTTTCTTCCTTTATGTCTCTTAGTAAAGCTTTATGATTTTCTTCAAGTAAGTGTTTCACCTTTCTTATCAAATTGATTCCTAGATATTTGATGATCCTGCTATTAAATGGATTTTGATTTTATTTTAATGTTTTGATACATTTTTAAATCTATACATTATTAACTTAGGTTTATTACTGATGACCTTAAACTATTTTATTGTTTCTAGCCACCTCTTCAGTTAATTCTCTTTGGCTTCCTAGAGGTGACATCACATGCTATTGAAATGGTGGTATTTCCTCCTCTTTTCTTTTGTAAAACTTAGAAGTTCCTGGTTCAGGGGAGAGGGGCTCTAAGTATGGTAAGCTGTGCTTTCCATAGCTGACTATAACTGAATACCTGTGTCATCAATTTTGGGATGACCACTAAGGTATTTTTGCAGAATTGCATTTACCTGCCTTAGATGCCCCTTCACATTCTTTTCGGACACAGGGCCATTATCTGCTATCTTGAAATTCACAAGTCCCCCTCCAAGAGGAGAAATAACTGCCAAGTAATGGCCTTGACCATATGCCTTTAAACAAGGCCTCTTCCATTATGGCTTGATAAACCCTGAGCAGCCCTGCCTCATTCTCTGCAAAAGCCCGAGACCATCATGCCTCATTCCCACCCCATGCTCTCTCTCTGTTTCTCCTCCACCCTCCATTTTTCTAGTTCCCCAGCTTTCTCTTTATCTCCCATTGGCAGGCCTCGGTTAACCTGTCTTTGGGTCGCATACCCCATATGGTCTCACCCCCATTCCTCTCTCCTGGATGTGGTTTACCCTGGTGCCTTGCATCTTGCCATCTCTGCCACCCTATCAAGCCTCAGCCTGCTTACTTCCAGGTCTATACCAGCCCCCATGCAGATGAAACTCAACGCCCTAAAACACATCTGGTCCATGGAACACCAGGAAGTCCAAGATGGCAGGGGTGGAGGATCTTGGAGCAAGTAGATTTCTGGCCAAAGAAGTCCAAACAAGCCCCAGGGGGAAGCCCCAGGAAGAACTGACCTCTGGTTGGTGGGATACAGCTCCACCGTGATCACATCCAGAGCATTCCAGGCAGCAATGCTGGTCCCACAGAACAGGCACTGCCAGCCGATCATCGCGGACTCACTGTTGCCAAAAAACAGGAAAAAGCAGCAGACAGCTGAGGTCAGCATGGAGCCACCTGCAGAGGGAGGTCAAGGGCAGAAAGAAACATGAAGGCCGTGTCCGGGACAAGGCGGTCACCTGCAGGGCTTGCCCCTTCTCCCATCTTCACAGATACCCCTGTAGTAGGTCCATCTCTACATGGAGAGAGCACAGCCTGAAGCCCCACATGGTGCCCCAGCCATGGGACTAGAACCTTCTACAGGGTAATGTCACCAGGGTCAGCTCTGGGAAGGACTCTTAAATTCTCCCTCTGCAGTGCTGTCCAGTCCAGAATAACTGGGAAGGCAGAGGAGGCGTTGGCTGAGAATCTGTCATGGGCTGGACATTGTACAAGGTGCCTGAGATACATCAGTGTCTAGAAACTCCATTCTCAGGAGCGTGATTCTATTGGGAACATAACTGTAAATGGCTGCAGAAGGACCCTGCTGGTTGTGCATTTATGCCCATCTCCACTGCCCTTCTCAGCCCTGCTCTGTGTCCCAGGAAACTGACTCCCATGGACTGCATACGTGGGGCTCCTTGCCAGCTGGGAGGAGAAAGGAGTTGGTATATTTCTTCCCAGCTCCTGACCTGTTCTGTAAGCCCTTTTCTGGCAATGGCTGCATCCCTCCAGGTCTGCAGGTCCTTCCGGGTGCCTCGTCCGTGGCTCCACTCTCACTGGGCTCTGTTACTGCTATTTTCTCCATCCCTACAGCCCTAGAGGTGGCACCTGCTACCCAATCTTGCTAGTATCTGGGTGCCTCATCTGCCTTATTTGTTCCCATAACTGTAACCCTACCTTTAAAAGCCACCCTATCAATAAAGTTTCTCCTCTAGAACCCTCTGGGTGGATTCTGGTTCCTATCAGGACTCTGGCTGATGGAGTTAATGATAAGAGACCCCACTGAAAGAAGGTGTGTCAGACCCTGCTGAAATCCAATACATTCAGCCCGGAGGAGCTTGGGAAATCTGCAGCGGACACACAGGGCAAGGACAAGGAGCATGGCTGGCGATGCAGCCGAAACAGCCAGCAGGAAGGAAGTTAAAGCGGGACCCAAACGACCAGCTGGGACAAAGGGCAAGAGCCCCCAGCAGGCCCCAGGACCCTGAGGGTGGGTGGTTCCCTTGTCCTCAAGAAGCCGGAAGGCTGGCCTGGCCTCACCAACAAGGGCCTCCCTGGGGGACCTCTCCCTGGAATCTTACACTGGACCTGGACCACCAAGACTGGTGCCGAACCTGCTGATGAGCTGGGAAGGGGTAACTGTCTGCTTTGAAGTGTGCCGATTCTGGGAAGCGACAGCTGGGGTCAGGTAGCCTGGTAACCTCTTTCCAAACAGCTAAGAGAGAACTGGGTGGGAGGAGACCGGCCTCTACTGGACCACGAGTGCCCTGAGAGCAATATCACCTACATGCATGCCTCCCTCAAGGTGGCCAGCTGTGGGCTTGGCTTACAATAAATGTTGACAAGTATTTGTTGACTATAAAATATTATCATCAGATAAGTCAAGTGATAGGGAACTGACCCTGCAACTATGTTAGGGCTTCTTGCTATAGGTCTCTCTGGCCTACTTCCACTTTCATAATCCTTAGTCTCCTGCAAGTGAGAGACCCAAGTTCAAAGCCCAGCTTCATCCGTGTGACCTTGAGTGAGTCACTTAACCTTTTGTGCTATCTCACTTTCCCCATCTATTACATGTTGATAAAAAACAGTATCTGCCTCACAGCCTCACTGTGAGGGTTCCATAGGTTAATATTTACAAAATTCTTAGGACAGAGCCTGACCTGTAATAAGCACTTCCTAAGTGTTAGTTAAATGAAATGTCTCATTTACGTCTGTCTCTCCCAACGGATAATCCATTCCTTAAGCACAAGGATGCTGTCTGGGTCCATTACTGCTGTATTTCCATTGCCTACTGCACAGCCTGGCAGAGAATAAGTGCTGCTTAAATTAAGTTTTATTAAATTAATAAATAAAGAATAACAGCCTCATTAGAAACTTCTACTCTGTTGTTAGCAGGACACCACTTCTACCCTGGAAAGAGAGTAGTGAGCCAGCAGGGACGCATCACGCTCCAGCAGATGCTACAGGGGCCAGGGAAGCAGGTCACCCCCAGAGGGATTTATGGAGCACCTGGTAGTTAGTGTGCACCAGGAATATTGCTGTTGATCCACTGCCTGCCAGGCCTTTTACTAAAGATACAAAGTAGGCACTGTCTGAGGGCTTCATCTGGCTCAGGAACAAAATACAGACATTAATAAAAGGGTAAGATATAAAGAATGGTAACTATGTTCCAGATATCCAGTTCAGGGAGAATGCCTTTCTTTAGCACTATAGAAATCACTTTAGATCTGGGATACATTCGTGATGCCAAGAAAGCCTTCAATGGCAAAGAAAAAGACGTCCATTCTCCTCCAGCCCTGCCTGCCCCCTGTACCACCCTGCCCTCTGCTTCCGTGTGGGAGTCACCAGCAGCTGGTCGCAGGCAACGGGCCCCACTGTCGTTCACACCGGTGCCCACCCACCTCTTGCAGATACTACTTCCCAAGAGCTTCCTCACTGCTCCAGGACCTGGTCATGGAATTCACTGTTCGACCCCGGGACTCAAAAAGCCAATGACAGAGTGGCAGAAGGGTCACATGTCTATATGCCTTATCTCACTGGCGCAAACAGAAGTATTATTTTAACAATTTTGAAACAGAGGCTCAGAGGGATAAAGGGAGTTGTGCAGATTCAGAAGGCAAAGGTTGGCTGAGATGGCCCCCTGGGCTTTTCCACCCTCTGCTGAAAAGCTTGGTGCTCAGGCTAATCTAGGGAAGAGGCCACCTTCTCGGGTTCCAGTCAGTTCAGCAGCACTCCTGGGTGGCAGCTCTCAGGCAGGCACCGTGCTGGACATGGTATTACAGAAGTTAGGAAACCACTCTCCCTTTCCCAGGTCTAACCAGAGGAGACAGCCCAGTCTGCCACGCCTACAAGATGACCCCATCCTCATCACCGGATGCAAAGGCTGAAGTCACAGCCATTCCTTGGAGTTCACCATTCTGCATATTCATACTACTGTTTATTAGAACAATATTTGATATGTGTCAAACACCAGGAAAACATTCCCTTCCCATGAAAACCAGTGTACTCTTCTCTGATGAAATGACTGATTTATTTTGTTTCCCTTTGAGCTTTGTTGCAGGGAGTTGATATTAATTTTCTTATCAGGTACATCCCTAGGGCAGATCCTTCATGGTGTGTTGATTAGATACTGTCCCCTTCTCCTGGCCCCACTCATGGTCTAACACATATTTTTACTGGCCCTGGGTGTATACATTTTGTTTCTTGTGTACCATGCATGGCATGTATTTCTACAGCAAAACACTACAAGTCCTGGTGGAATGAAGCAAGGCACACATGGATCTGGCTACCATTTTTGAGAACCTACAGTGCACCACGCACTATAAGATGCTTTGGGTGCATTATGTTCAACCCTTACAAAACCCCACCAGCTCATTACCAGTATCCTCATCTTATAGATAAGTAAACTGAGGCACAGAAAAGAAAAGGAACACGGTCAAAGTCAAACAGCCTGTAGGTGATAGGATTCCAAATTAGTCTGTTCAACTCCAAAGCCCAAAGTGTTATGACAATTCAATAATAATAAGTAACACAATTCATCTTAAACCCATCAAATGAAACCAATGCTCATTTAAGAGCACTTGATGTATTTTTCTTAACAATAATCTTACAGAGCAGGAAGTTTTAACATCCTTCATGCTCACAGAATAAGTGGTTGTCACAGAATTGCTCAGTTGGGAAAAGAAGATGAGTCCCTGGCTTGGGCCATAGGTCTCGGGGCTTTAGAGATGTGCCTCCTGGCCCAACTCCAGCAGATTCCATCTCACCTGTTAGGTTCCTGTGCAAGATTTCTTCAAGAAAAAAAGATTCCACTGCCTTAATAATCTGCATACGCATACGCACGCCTGCAACCCCAGAGCACAGGTGTGGCATCCTCATCAACTCACCCATCATCTTGATCCTTCCCATTCTATCCATGAGCAGGGCAGAAATGATGTTCCCAGGCAAGACAGACAGACTGCCAAGGAAGCTAACGAGGTAAGTCAGGAAGTCGTTATCTTGCTCGAAGTCCATGTGGCAGCCTTCCTTCTGTTCCAGAAAGGTGGAGTTGATAAACCGACAGTTGATGAACTTATGCTCGTAGAGGTCTGGGGAGAGAAGGAAATGTTTGGCTCATGTAAAGCGGATGGGGGCTGGGAAGAGACTGGGGCTGAGGCAAGGATGAAGTTGCGCCCCTTCGTGGGCAGGCTGCACAAGCTCGTGGCAAATACACATTCTCTACATCAAGGTGCTGTGCGGCCGGGTGTGGATGGAAAGAGACACCTCCAGAAATGGAGTGACCTGGTCAACTTTCTATAAGCAAGGGGAAGCGAAATGAACATTCCCTGAGAGGCATGTTTAAATACATCCTTTCTCAAGCCAGGTAACAGCCCCGTTTGTATCAGTGAGGTGATGCGGAGGGCTACAGTGGCTGGGCCACTCCTCCGGGCTACCCACCTTGCAGGAAGCAGAAGACAAGGGAATGAGGCCCAGCTTGAGCTGACCGCCCCAGAGCCCACAGAGAATTGTGAATGTTCTCCAAATCGAAAACCATTTGTGCAGTGGTTTCCAGAGTGGAGGGGATGAATAAGAGAAGCACAGAGGATTTTTAGAGCAGTGAAACTACACTGTATGATGCTCCAGCCATGGGTACACGCCATACATTCGCCCAAGTGCATAGAGCGTGCAACACCACGAAGGGACCCTAATGCAACTGTGGGCTCTGGGTGATTACGATGTGTCAGTGGGTGTTCATCAATGGTAACAAACATACCACCCTGGTGGGGGGGTGTAGATAATGGGGGAGGCTGTGGGGGGTTCGGGGCCATATGGGAATCTCTGTCCTTCTGTTCTATTTTTATTGCAAACCTGAAACTTCTCTAAAAAAAAATTAAGTTTTAAAAAAATATATAAATCATTTGCTTTGGAACTATTCCCATGTCTTCTGACACCTTTTAACACCAACTGTTCTAAAAGAAAGATTGTTAAATAGGCTCTTAGGAAATGTGGGTTTGGGGAACTGGCTCTGCTGCTGACCCCCTTATTAATGTTTTTTTTATTACATATGGTTGATATATGAGCTTGTATTGGTTTCAGATGTATAACACAGTGGTTCAACAGTTACCCATATTATTAAATCCTCATCCCCTCTAGTACAGTTACTATCAGCATAGAAAGATGTTACAGAATCACTGATTATATTCTCCATGCTGTACTACCATCCCCATGGGGGACCAACTTATATTGTGATGGCGAATTATTGTGCCCCTTTATTCACCCTCCCACTCCCCCACAAACCACCCTCCCTCTTGGTAGCCACTAGTCACTTCTCAGTGTCTATGAGTCTACTGCTTTTTTGTTCCTTCTTGCTGCTGACCCTCCTTAACCCCCCTGAGCTCCCACCTACAAAACTGGAGCAACACACAGGATCATCTCCATTGCTTCCAAGCTCGGTCATTTCACGACTACAGCTGGTTGCAAAAATCCCCATGTTAAGTGTATGCAAACAAAGAGACAGCATTAAAACTTGAAAGAAGAAAATAAAAGCTATGCTAAGTTTGGACGATACACAGCAAATGTATAGAACTCATTCTTATTTTTTAAGGTTCAGGCTAAAAAAAAAATTTAGGATGGTAAATCCCATAATGGATTATTTAGAGACTGAGGGATATTTTGGAGACCAGATTTAGAACCTTTTGGGGGTTGACATTATGGAGGAAAAAAGGTGTTCTGGCATAAACCATCCCTTGGTGCTGATGCCAGAGAGGAAGCACTGATGTGGACATAGTGCAGGTGGTTCCGTGGAAAGATCACAGACTGCGGAGCCAAACGGCGGAAGAATGAATCCAAGCTCCCTCTGCCTGCAACCTGTGGACTTGGGCAAGTTGCTGACGCTTCAGGATCCTTAGCTATAGGATGGGGATAATAGTACATTTCCCACTTGAGACAATGTAGGTGAAGCCCCTGGTGGAGCTCAGCTTCCTTACATCCCAACTCCACTTGGTATGTTATTAATTTGTCAGGCTTTAAGTAGAAGTAACAAGGAGTGAGGAAGGGGTGGAATTTTGTGATTTTTTTTTTAAGTCACAGCCATTCCTTGGAGTTCACCATTCTGCATATTCATACTACTGTTTATTAGAACAATATTTGATATGTGTCAAACACCAGGAAAACATTCCCTTCCCATGAAAACCAGTGTACTCTTCTCTGATGAAATGACTGATTTATTTTGTTTCCCTTTGAGCTTTGTTGCAGGGAGTTGATATTAATTTTCTTATCAGGTACATCCCTAGGGCAGATCCTTCATGGTGTGTTGATTAGATACTGTCCCCTTCTCCTGGCCCCACTCATGGTCTAACACATATTTTTACTGGCCCTGGGTGTATACATTTTGTTTCTTGTGTACCATGCATGGCATGTATTTCTACAGCAAAACACTACAAGTCCTGGTGGAATGAAGCAAGGCACACATGGATCTGGCTACCATTTTTGAGAACCTACAGTGCACCACGCACTATAAGATGCTTTGGGTGCATTATGTTCAACCCTTACAAAACCCCACCAGCTCATTACCAGTATCCTCATCTTATAGATAAGTAAACTGAGGCACAGAAAAGAAAAGGAACACGGTCAAAGTCAAACAGCCTGTAGGTGATAGGATTCCAAATTAGTCTGTTCAACTCCAAAGCCCAAAGTGTTATGACAATTCAATAATAATAAGTAACACAATTCATCTTAAACCCATCAAATGAAACCAATGCTCATTTAAGAGCACTTGATGTATTTTTCTTAACAATAATCTTACAGAGCAGGAAGTTTTAACATCCTTCATGCTCACAGAATAAGTGGTTGTCACAGAATTGCTCAGTTGGGAAAAGAAGATGAGTCCCTGGCTTGGGCCATAGGTCTCGGGGCTTTAGAGATGTGCCTCCTGGCCCAACTCCAGCAGATTCCATCTCACCTGTTAGGTTCCTGTGCAAGATTTCTTCAAGAAAAAAAGATTCCACTGCCTTAATAATCTGCATACGCATACGCACGCCTGCAACCCCAGAGCACAGGTGTGGCATCCTCATCAACTCACCCATCATCTTGATCCTTCCCATTCTATCCATGAGCAGGGCAGAAATGATGTTCCCAGGCAAGACAGACAGACTGCCAAGGAAGCTAACGAGGTAAGTCAGGAAGTCGTTATCTTGCTCGAAGTCCATGTGGCAGCCTTCCTTCTGTTCCAGAAAGGTGGAGTTGATAAACCGACAGTTGATGAACTTATGCTCGTAGAGGTCTGGGGAGAGAAGGAAATGTTTGGCTCATGTAAAGCGGATGGGGGCTGGGAAGAGACTGGGGCTGAGGCAAGGATGAAGTTGCGCCCCTTCCGTGGGCAGGCTGCACAAGCTCGTGGCAAATACACATTCTCTACATCAAGGTGCTGTGCGGCCGGGTGTGGATGGAAAGAGACACCTCCAGAAATGGAGTGACCTGGTCAACTTTCTATAAGCAAGGGGAAGCGAAATGAACATTCCCTGAGAGGCATGTTTAAATACATCCTTTCTCAAGCCAGGTAACAGCCCCGTTTGTATCAGTGAGGTGATGCGGAGGGCTACAGTGGCTGGGCCACTCCTCCGGGCTACCCACCTTGCAGGAAGCAGAAGACAAGGGAATGAGGCCCAGCTTGAGCTGACCGCCCCAGAGCCCACAGAGAATTGTGAATGTTCTCCAAATCGAAAACCATTTGTGCAGTGGTTTCCAGAGTGGAGGGGATGAATAAGAGAAGCACAGAGGATTTTTAGAGCAGTGAAACTACACTGTATGATGCTCCAGCCATGGGTACACGCCATACATTCGCCCAAGTGCATAGAGCGTGCAACACCACGAAGGGACCCTAATGCAACTGTGGGCTCTGGGTGATTACGATGTGTCAGTGGGTGTTCATCAATGGTAACAAACATACCACCCTGGTGGGGGGGTGTAGATAATGGGGGAGGCTGTGGGGGGTTCGGGGCCATATGGGAATCTCTGTCCTTCTGTTCTATTTTTATTGCAAACCTGAAACTTCTCTAAAAAAAAATTAAGTTTTAAAAAAATATATAAATCATTTGCTTTGGAACTATTCCCATGTCTTCTGACACCTTTTAACACCAACTGTTCTAAAAGAAAGATTGTTAAATAGGCTCTTAGGAAATGTGGGTTTGGGGAACTGGCTCTGCTGCTGACCCCCTTATTAATGTTTTTTTTATTACATATGGTTGATATATGAGCTTGTATTGGTTTCAGATGTATAACACAGTGGTTCAACAGTTACCCATATTATTAAATCCTCATCCCCTCTAGTACAGTTACTATCAGCATAGAAAGATGTTACAGAATCACTGATTATATTCTCCATGCTGTACTACCATCCCCATGGGGGACCAACTTATATTGTGATGGCGAATTATTGTGCCCCTTTATTCACCCTCCCACTCCCCCACAAACCACCCTCCCTCTTGGTAGCCACTAGTCACTTCTCAGTGTCTATGAGTCTACTGCTTTTTTGTTCCTTCTTGCTGCTGACCCTCCTTAACCCCCCTGAGCTCCCACCTACAAAACTGGAGCAACACACAGGATCATCTCCATTGCTTCCAAGCTCGGTCATTTCACGACTACAGCTGGTTGCAAAAATCCCCATGTTAAGTGTATGCAAACAAAGAGACAGCATTAAAACTTGAAAGAAGAAAATAAAAGCTATGCTAAGTTTGGATGATACACAGCAAATGTATAGAACTCATTCTTATTTTTTAAGGTTCAGGCTAAAAAAAAAATTTAGGATGGTAAATCCCATAATGGATTATTTAGAGACTGAGGGATATTTTGGAGACCAGATATAGAACCTTTTGGGGGTTGACATTATGGAGGAAAAAAGGTGTTCTGGCATAAACCATCCCTTGGTGCTGATGCCAGAGAGGAAGCACTGATGTGGACATAGTGCAGGTGGTTCCGTGGAAAGATCACAGACTGCGGAGCCAAACGGCGGAAGAATGAATCCAAGCTCCCTCTGCCTGCAACCTGTGGACTTGGGCAAGTTGCTGACGCTTCAGGATCCTTAGCTATAGGATGGGGATAATAGTACATTTCCCACTTGAGACAATGTAGGTGAAGCCCCTGGTGGAGCTCAGCTTCCTTACATCCCAACTCCACTTGGTATGTTATTAATTTGTCAGGCTTTAAGTAGAAGTAACAAGGAGTGAGGAAGGGGTGGAATTTTGTGATTTTTTTTTTTCAGTCATGGAAACCTGAAATAGTATGCCTTTAAAATATCTTATCTCATTTCATGCACAAAGCTTAAAAAGATGCAATTGTCCCTTTTTTGTTGTTGTTGTGAGAACATGAGTCTTGAATTTTGCAAGTTTCAAATTATGCAAGGTCTTCAAGAATGCACTCTAGGTATAAGGTGTGGCCCTCCTGGAATGCTGTTTGTTTGTTTTTTGATCTGTGTCATACTTTGTTCCTACCAAAAACCCACAGTGTTCAGCATCAGACTTATTGAGAATCAAAACGCCCACCTGGACGGTCTGTTTCCATTTTAAATGTGATAAAATATGCAGGTAAATTAAATGCCTGCAACCAATTCGTTGCCATATCTGAGGCTAGAACCCATTTCTCTCCACTAAAGCTCAGCACTCATATCTGTGTATATTTTATTGCTCCAAAAGCTTATGGCCAAGCAGTTCGGTTCATCTGCCCAGGTTCTTACCTGTGTTATAAAAGATGGTTGATTCAATGGTGCAATTTTTGAAATAGGTATCAGTAGATGTAACATCTTCAAAATAGCACTCGTCAAAGAATGTGTCCTCAAAGAGCACATGTTTAAAGTACATCTTTGTGAACCTGTGGAAAAGATATTAGCCTCTGAGTGATTCGTCCAGGAGAAGAGGAGACATATAACCAAAAAGGAAAATGCACAAAGGCAGAAAAAGGAGAACTGCAAACCGAAAGATGCAAAAATATTATTTTCAGCCAAGACTACTTCCCCACTTCTTAGTTGTTTGTTTTTAAATGAGGAAGGACCTCAGGAGTGTGGACACTGGGGTCTAGTTCGGGTCCACTGGGGGAGCAGTGCATCAGCCTGATGGTTCCCAAGCACAGGTCCACGGGTCTGTTGCATCAGAATCACAGTGTGAAACGAAAAGAGTGACAGCATCTCACTTGGTGAGGAGTTTTAAAAACATGCAGGTTCCTCTGCTGATCTTGGAAGGTTTGGAAGCAATTGATTTGTGAGAGCCTGAGAATCTTCTTTTTTTAAAAGTGCCCCAACAAAGATGTGAGGAAATAGACACTTTCATTCAGAGTGTTGGTAAAATATAACTGGTGCAGCCTCTTTGGGGAACAATGTTGCAAAATTTCAAGTAATCCCTTTGATCTAGGAATACCACCTCTTACGACTTACCCTACATGCGCCTGCTCACACATTCTGAAGGATACATTCACTGATGCTCATTGCAACATTTATTATAACAAGAATTACTAGGCAGATAATAGGTAGTTAGGTAGACATCATACAACGGAATACCATGTGGCCATTATAGCTATTAGGTAGATCTGTATGTTTTAATATGGTACGACCTTCAGGATATATTTTTAATGGAAAAAATCAAATGTGGCCCAGTGTTCACAGCAGGTGACAATTCAGAAAGGATATGGCACATCCTCCAAAGGCATAGACTGTACTTCAGAGTATTTCTGAGCTTTGTTATAGCTATTACCACTTTAAAAATTTGTTGGGACTCCCTTTTTGTGTTAAGCTGTAATTTACACACAGTGAAATTCACCCTGGTAGATGTGGTTGGTCCTGGGAAGGTGCAACAGGGGTGGTAGGAATGATACAAAATTAATTTTTCCTTTAATAAAAAAGTGTATATGTTACTTTTTCACTTAAAATTAAACAATAAGGGGGGAAAACACCTTAAGTGATTGTGAGGTGCAGCCATATCTGGGAGCCGCTGTACTATTCCAACTCCTACATAAGCCCAATAGGGAAGACCGATATTACATTAAAATTGGTTTACTGGCATACATTAACATCATCTCTGTTGATTCTATTTATTAAATATGCTCAAACATTGAAGCTAGAAAAACCCTGGATATATTTTCATTTGTGAAGAATTGCAACCTATCCACTCATTCATTTGTCCTTTCATTTATTCACAGATCCAGTCTCCAGCAAATACTTACTGAGTGTAGCCTAGTCACCATGCATAATACAGTGCTGAGGGTCATTGCTCCCCCTCAGGGCCACCAGAGAATCCAGTCCATGCCCACATATGATGGCCAGTTCCTCTTATCCCTGATGCTATGTTGTATTCTGCTCAGAACCCTAACCGAGCACCACCTGTCATTAGCTTCTGCAAAAAGACCTCCTCCCTAGTAAGAAGGCCGGGGCAAAGGCCTTCCAAAGAGAGGTCCCCAGTCCACCTGCATCAGAATAAAATGGGAGGCTACTATGAAAGATGCAATTTCCTGCATTCCAACCTAGACCTCATGAATCATCACCACCAGAGGCAGAAGCCAGAGAGAGCACTTTTAAAAATGTGGGAGTCATTAGTCTAGAAATCCAGATTATTTTACTTAGGGCCAAATTTGCTACAGACTTTCAAACAGGGACCTACAAAAGCTATCACCGAGCTCCCCAGATTTCCATGGAACAACTAATTGATAAGCCTTTTGTTATAGGAAGATGTCTCTGGTTTTAAAATTATAATGTAACTCATTATGCTGGGTGTGTTTACTCAAGAAAGCTCTTCCCGTAGACTATCTCAGTCTTTGCCTTTCTTAATATACCCTTCTCTTTAATACAGTAATAGGCTGCTGGTGGGGCCTTCGGTGCTATTTTCATGTTCTGCCAAGGGTGAGTGAGAAAGCAGAGCCATAAATCATAATGAGCCTGATGCAGGCAGACCTTAAAATGTATCTCCAAGTGAGTTATAAAAAGCCAAAGTTATAAAGGAAGAGACAAAAGGAGAAAGGGCCAAGGCTTGTTTTATGAGTCTTTATATCAATCATCTCCTTCCATCTCCAAGTTACCTACTGAACTGGTCCGAGATTCTTCATCAGGAGAGTTCGAAGGCTAAAGGAAAAGTTAGCAAAAGTATCTTATGGAGCTTCTCCTGTGAGAAAACAGACGCCATTGCCAACCCAGAGTCCGTGGCAGAATTACTGCTACAAACACTTTATTTCATTTACCATCAGGCCCAAAGCGGAGACCCACCAACCACTCTCAACTGTGTGGAAAGTCACATCTACAAGTGTTCTGGACTTGATGGCACCACCTTTAAGAAACTCAGTCTAATTGAAGAGATAAACAAGAAAACTGATAATTAAAATTTAGTGTGATAACTATCAAGATAGTGGTAGGTTATAAAATCATTTCAAATGGGGCACTTGTGATCTGGTTGGGTTGGGAAAGGCATGAGGGGGCGAGCCATCCAAGCACAGACATGGAGGCAGGGAACATCCAGGCAAAGGGAACAGCATGTGCAAAGACACAGAGGCATGTTGCATACACCCATTAATTTCCCTTTCACACAAATTATATTGCCTTTATGAAGAAAGTAAACACAGGGTATGGCTCTGTAAAGCTTCTACGCACACGCCCTACTGATAAGCCTCTCAGGTACTGTGGACTGAAAAAGACCTGGACCCCCAGCCTCACACATTTCCTCACATCAGGTCCCGATCTGAGGTACAGCAAAGCACAAATAAGAGGATCATTCACATCAGAAAATACGTTTGGGCCTCATTGGCTTAAAGAAAGGAGGAAACAGAAAGTCTTGCCTGAGTGTTTTCTGTAACTTCTTAAATTCTCCGAACGTAGTCATCGGGTCGTTACCCTACCTCTGATACCACTCTCTAAAATATGAAGAGTGGAGTCCAGCTTCAGAGCTTAATTACCAAGAGATCTTAGGCAAGTCTCTTCTCTATGGCCCTACATTTAAAAGTCTTTAAAATAGGATTGAGGAGAAGGTTCTTTCCAGCTCTAGTACATGGTTCCATAAATGAGAAGTACCTTTACTGTGTGTAGTCTGAGAAGAAACAAAAGAGGGGATTGAGGATATGGCCATATTACTTCTCCAAATCATGGAAATATTATTTCATGGAGAAATAGACTATTTTCATGGTGCCACGTCAGCCAAAGAGGATCCCCGATGACACATGTTCTTGTGCCTCTGTGAATCTGCCTGTAAACCCAGTTTCTTCCTCTCTGCTTTCTTTATCCTCAAGGCTGCTCAAATGCTGAAGTCACAGCATCTCATCCTGTCTCTTTTATAGAAATCCTAGCCTTTGGGAACAGTAACTGAAGCAGAATTTTAAAATTAGAATATAGGTAAAAAGAGATCATAAAGATAAAAGCAACTATTAAATCTCCAAGAGAAAAAAAAGTAGAAAAACTTTGTACATAAATATAGGTGTAAGCATCCTAAACAAAACACTAGTTTAACCATGCCAAACTCTGGAAATGACACACAATTCCTTTGCCTATAGTAAATGGACAAATGAAATGTGGTGGTACATTCCTACCAAGGAATGATGCAATGCAATAAAATAAACAAGCTGCTGAATGTGCAACAACATGGATGAATCTCAAGCGCGTCCTGCTAAGTGAGATTAAAAGGCTTCATAGTGTGTGATTCCATCCATGCGACATGGACAAGATCATCGGTTGCCAGGGGCTGGAGTTGGAGGGAGGATTGACTATAAAGTGGCTTGAGAAAACTTGGGGGGTAATGAAATTATTCTCCATCTTGACTGTGGTGAAGATTTCATGACTGTGTGCAACCAGCAAAACTCCCAGACCTGTAGGCTAAAAAGGGTGTATTTTACTGTATATAAATTGCACCTAAACTAAAAAAAGGAAATCCCAATAAATTTCTGAGGTAAGAATAGCTACAACAAAATCCAAACGAAGCTCAAATACTCACTAGTTTGACTCAACATTCCGATACCCTGTATAACTTAGAAAAGAAGAGATGTACCCATTTCTTAGTCTCTACTGTCCTACATAAATACCTGAATTTCAAGAAAAAATTATAAGACACACAAGAAATCAAGAATAAAACAACGTAATGACAAAACAAAGTAACATAAAAAACCAAAATTGGATCTGACATCCATGTTGGAATTGACAGGTAATTTAATATTACTATTATTAACATATTAAAGCCTTAAAGGAAAAGGTGGATAACATGCATGCATGGATAAAGAATTCCAGCATAGAGATGCGAACTATCAGAAAGAATAAAATGGAAATGCTAGAAAATTTTTAAAACAATAAAACAGAAAGAATGCCTTTGATGGGCTCATCAGTACACCGATCAGTGCTAAGGAAAGAATGACTTAACTTGCAAGTAACCTACAGACAACTTAAGAGAAATACCAAAACTAAAATATAAAAAGAAAAACACAGGGAAAACCCCAGAAAAGGGCATCCAAAAGCTGTGGGGAAATACCAAACAATTTAATGCAAGTGTGATTGGAATTTCAGAAAGAAAGGAGAGAGAGAATTTGGTATAAGAAATATATGAAGAGATAATGGCCAAGAATTCCCCGCAACGAATGAAACAGGTTAAACCAAAAGTCCGAGAAACTCACAGAACCTCGGCAGAGTAAATACAGAAAAAGGAGTTGGAAGAGGAGAAGTACATCTAAGTGCATGATACTCACACAGCTGAAGACCAAATATAAATGGAAAATTTTGATACATAACCTGGATGGAATCCTGGAACAGAGAAAGGGCACTGGATAAAAACTAACAATCTGAATGAAGTATGGCCTTTAGTTAATGATGATGTGTTGATATTGGTTCATTAATTGTAACAAATGTGCCTCGGTAA